GTTTCTGGTTTAGGGTTTCGGGTATACCGGAACCCTCAAAACTCAGATGTTCAGAGTCTATCATTTATCGTTACAGTATGATTTTCGCACAGCTGTCCTTAGAAACATACGAACCCTAAACCCTAGACCCGAAAAGCNNCCGAAAAGCCTAAACCCTAAACCCTGAAAGCCTAAACCCTAAACCCTAAAAGCCTAAACTACCCTAAACCCTAAAAGCCTAAACCCTAAACCCTACAAGCCTCAACCGCAAAAACTAAAACCCAAAAAACCCTAAACCCTAAAACCCTGAAACCGCAAAGCCTGAAGATTTAGATTATCAGGCTGAGGGTTGGAGGATCCCCGCTAGGTCTTGGGTTTTCAAGATAGGGCCTGGCTCGCGCTTGGGGGTTCGGGGGTCGGGCTGACTGGTTGCTGTTCTTTTCTTGGTTGTTTTTTTTTAGGGTTTAGGGTTTAGGGATTAGGGTTTAGGGTTTAGGGTTTAGGGTTTGGGATGTAGGGTTTAGGGTTCAAGCTTTCCTGCTTCAGGACTTTGGGGTGTGTGTCGCCGAAAACCTAAACCGCATCTACGGGATTTCCTAGGGATCTTTAGCCTCAGCGCTAAACCTAAACCCTAAACCCTAAAACCTAAACCCTAAACAACCCAAAGAGGAGGTTTCGCTTCGTAGGGCTCTACGAAGCTGCAGGATGACTAACGCAAAAGGCAAATCCAAAAACCCCGGCCATGCTTAAAAACACGTTTTTGTTTGGGTTTAGGGTTTAAGGTTTAGGGTTTAGGGTCTAGGGTTTAGGGTTCTAGGGTTTAGGGCTTAGGGTTTAGGGTTTAAGCGGTTTAGGAATAAGGGTTCTAATATACGGGCCTAAATAGTTACCAATATTATTATATTGGGGGGGGGTTCCTTATTATAAATGTAGTATAGACGGGCCCCCAAACCCTATTCTAATTATGAAGGCCCCTACATTATGCTCGAAGCCTAGCGCTTCGAAGGCTGACGGGACTTGTAGCTAGGAGACCCAGTAGGCCTTTTCTGGGTAGTTTTCTAAACTAGGGTCCCTTTTGGGGTCCTTTTTATAAGGGTGCTGTAATATATCGCGGACCTAAAAAGGGACCTTAATTTAGAACTACCCATATGAGGGTCTCTTCAAAGTAGGGCTTCGGGCTTCTACAGGGTTCTTACCTTCCGGATTCTATCATTTGAGGCCTATATGAAGCTGCCAGATATGGCTGAACCATGCGTGGAATTCGTAAAACCTCCAAACCCCAAAACTCAGCCCGTAAAACCAACCAGGACCAACCCAAGACCCTGAATCCTAAACCCCGCCGAGCATGGGCCTCTGTACAGGGCCACAAGGCCTTCGGTCGTGTGGATCTGCCGAAATGTCTCCCTGCGCATCGAAGTAAGGCTTGAGAGTCGTAACGTAGGGTCCTTGACGATTTACCCTAAACCCTAAACCCTAAACCCTAAACCCTAAACCCTAAACCGTCCTTTTTGAGGGCTCTATAAGGCTTGCTGCAAGGGCTCTGAAAAGATTGCCATGTCGTGGACTAGTTCTTGTAGCAGACATACAGGGCAAGGCTCCTCCTATGTTAAAAAAATCCAGGGCTAGAAGTGATGGAAACCATAGTTATGTTGGGTTATAGCTACCTAGGAGTTTTGAATTTCCGACGCCGCAGACTCCTCATGGTCTTGTGTCGGAATTTCCGGGTCTAATTAACGTGTAGGGTTCAGGGTTCTAAGGTCAGGGTTTTGGATGTAAACCCTAAACCCTAAACCCTAAACCCTAAACCCTAAACCTGCACATGAGCATAAACCTGGGAGCCGTCAAAAGCTTCAATCCTAAAAACCTACAGTTCAAGCCCGGCAGCCCGAACAACTTTAAAAGCCCAAAAATCCTAGACCCCAAAAGGCCTTAAAGCCTAACAAAACCAACTAAACCAATAATATTGGGGGCGGGGTGATGGGTTAGAACCTTAAGCCCTAAACCCTTAACCCTAAACCCCTAATGCAGAGCTCTGGAATTCGGCACCGAGTGCCGGGAACACGCAGGATTCCTTCTTATGATTTGCTTGTACTTGGGTTTACGGTTTAGGGTTTAGCTTTTTGGGTTTAGGGTTTAGGGTTCAAGGCTAGGGGTCTAGAGTTGAGGGTCAAGTCGCAAAGCCATCCTTCAATCCAAAATTTAATTTGCCAAAAAAACCAGTCACAGATTCTTATCCCTATTTTAAACCTTATCGTCTTTTTTTACTCCTTATCGTTTTACAAGCTCCGAGACATATTTCTACACGCATGACATATATACGTATGTGTATATATATATATATATGTATGTATGTATACACACATATATTATGTATAGTCATGTTACATTGAACGCTTGCCTCAAACAGGTCCTTGTATAAGGCTTCTCGGGTCAAATGGAGGGGCAGGAGCTACCGAGACACGAGATTTCAAGAACACACAAGTCACATTAGCAGGGCGGGGCCGCTAGGGGGAGCTGATTGTAGCAGCAGCAATGAGAGGGAGAACGAGTTGTCGGTTCGAGATGCGTGTTCCGGGGTGCAAGGTCGTCAAGGCTTAGATTGTTTGGAAGCTTAAAGCCTTTCGGGAGTCTGAAGCAGCTGCTTCGGGGCTGCAGACAAGTGTTCTGCGCACTCTTTCTTTTCACTAGTCTGGGAGCCGTTTCCCATCCATGACACGCCACTACTTTCCCGCTGTATGATTTTAGTACTGGTTTACATAAAACTGGTCTACTGTCCGCAATGGGCGAAATCCAATCACAAACGGTATCGTTTGGGCTATCGTTTACGTTATCGTTCAACACCCCATTCCACAAACCGATTTTGGGGAGGCCATACGCTGCCGCACTTGGAATCGGGAACCTACAAACTGGAAGCTTGAATGGTGACGCCGCGCATCTTTCAAGAGTTGGCGCTTTTCAGACGGCCCCGACCGACATCTCCCGAAGGAAAGAAAGAATGAAGCCCACAGGGGCCCACAGGTACAATTAGGCCGCAGCCAGGGAGGGCCCCCCCAGAAAAGAAGAGGAAGCGAAGAATGTAAAGATGCGTGCACGTGTTTATTCCTTATCGTTTTACGTTGCATCCCCCCCATACTGATGTATGTTGACATAGAAACCTTATCGTTAAAAATTACTCCTTATCGTTTTACAATGAATCTAATGAATAGGGCCTCCAACTCTTAAATCTTCATACCGGGGTTTTTACTCAAACCCTGGTGTTCTTCGGACCCCCTGGAAAACCATGGTGACTTTGTGCCTTATTGGGGGAAAACGATGCTATTTAAACCAATGTCAAAGATGGCCTGATAAAGCTAAACCCTACACCCTGAACCCTAAACCCTACACCCCAAACCCTAAACCCTGAACCCTACACCCTAAACCCTGGACCCCCTAAACCCTAAACTCCTAAGATTCATCTTTGAGCTTCAGGGTTGCTCAAGGTTCGGTTTGGAGTTTGTCCTGCTCAGGTTTGTTTGGTTTGGGGTTTAGGGGTTAGGGTTTAGGGTTTAGGGTTTAGGGTTTAGGGTTTAGGGTTTAGGGTTTAGGGTTTAGGGTTGGGGTTAGGATTTATCCTGGGAATCGCTCCGCTTCACTCATGCGGGGGCTGGCTATCCCAGCAACAAGGACTTCTCAAAAGCTGTACTACAGATTTCCCTTTTCATGTAGACAGGACATGGAGATAATGGGAAACCCTAAACCCTAAACCCTAAACTCCAAGATTCCCCGATGGCTTCAGGAACAGGGCACACCTTCTCGAGACCACCCCAAGGCTCAGACATCTGAGTTCAAAGGCAGAGGCGGCGTTCTTCCTTACCCTAAACCCTAAACCCTAAACCCTAAACCCTAAACCCTAAACCCTGAAACCTAAATCCTGAACCCCTAAACCCTAAATCCCTAAAGCCTAAACCCTAAACCCCTAAACCCGAAACCCTAAAACCCCCAAACCCTAAAACCCTAAATGCCTAAAGCCCTAAATCCCTAAACTCTCAAGCCTAAACCCTAAAACCCCAAAACCCTAAACCCTAAAACCGTCAATCCCTAAATCCCTAGACCCCGCGCTCCCGAGCTCCAAATCATAAGCCCAATGCATTCCTGGGTTGGCCCTCAAAAAACCCTCGGCAAAAAATATTTACATAAAGGGGAGGCTTAGGGTTTAGGGTTTAGGGTTTAGGGTTTAGGGTGATCCCCTTATAAACCCCAAATAAGAGGGGAAAAAATAAGGTCCCAGGCAGCAACCTAGATTCTTAGACTCTCTTTTATATAAAGGGGATCCCCTTATGACCCCCAAGTAAGGAAAATAAAACAAAAGGTCCCAGAAAACCATCCTAAACCCTAAACGCTAAACCCTAGTCGGTCCCAGAAAACAACCTCGAGTCTTAGACGCTAGTCCAGAAGCCCGGAGCCGAACCCATGCATCTTGAGGCCAAGTAAAAACTAAAGGTTTAGGGTTTAGGGTTTAGGGTTTAGGGTTTAAATATGTACCAGAAGCCGGTTTGGGGTTTAGGGTTTAGGGAAGCCCCGATGCCTCACAGCTAGGAAGTCCTAACACACCACTACGAAGCCAGTCAGTTACAGCATAGCGGGAACAACCGAAACCGACATCACCATCATCACCCATCACCTTCCTCATCAGCAGCTGCATAAGCTGTTGATGGTCCCCGTAATCGCCGTCGTCTTGGAGAGTGGGTAATATCGGGTTCCTTTAAGGGTTACTTTAAGGATTCTATAAGGATTAGAGTTTAGACTATCTAGGTTTAGGCTTCAGGGGTTTAGGGTGTGCAGTGGGCGATCCGTATGAAGCAAACTCAACACTCGAACTCCAACGAAATTATTTGATATTAGGCCCTTGATTGTTGGAACAGGGCTTTCGCGTATTTCAGAATACCCTTCTAATAAGGAACCCTGAGGCATAATACAGGATAGTATCCAGGCTTCTATAGTACGAGACTACGACGACATGTCAGCTACAGCCTGTAACGGCTCAAGTCTCGTCATGGGCAAGGGACTCTCCTGCAATAACCGGGTCCAAACCACACGGTTTAGGGTTTGGGGTTTAGGGTTTAGGGTTTAGAGTTTAGGCTAGACCAAACATATAGGGCCAAAGCGTTTAAAGTTCTCCGGTTGGCTAAGTAAGGGGAGGCTAGACACTGGCCCGCACTAAGGAAGCTTCGGTTTTTTCCCGAAATTTCCCGAAAGCTCATGACAGCAGTGAAACAATTTCGTGGCTCTGTGCCAGATTGATAGCCGTGAAGCCCATGTTGTCTTCTACATCCTTGTCGGCGCCGGCCTCCAGCAACAAGCTCACGACGTCTGGATGACCTCTGACAGATGCTTCCATCAAAGCTGTGCAGCCGATGTTGTCTCGCATATTCGTGTCGGCGCCAGCCTCCAGCAGCAAGTTCACGACTTCAGCTCGACCGCTGTGGGCTGCATTCATCAACGAGGTCGCACCGGTGTCGTCTGCCACGTCTTTGTCGGCGCCGGCCTCCAGCAACAAGCGCAAGACCTGGACATGACCTGCACGAGATGCTTCCATCAAAGCTGTTCGGCCATCTGCATGACTCAAGTCTGGATCTTGGGGCACTTGTAGCTTGGACTCAACCTCCTCAACCGAGCCGCGGGCAGCAGCGCCTACCAGGTCGTCTACTTGCTCTTGCGAAACTTCGGCAAACTGCAGCAGAACAAGATCCAGGCACATCGTGGAATCCAGTTTGACAGCATCTTGTAGCGGCTTGCCATCGAGTAAGAAGCTCTGCCTAAATCCCAAAGGAAAGCCATGCAGCCGATTCAAGTGCCTCTTCAAGCCCCTCACGTCGTCTATCTCGTGCACAGGGATGCTCAACTCCCCGCCGGAGATCATTCTGACTTGTAGCATCGCAGGGCTCTCCATGACAGAACTAGAAAGTAGAAGCTGACCAATACTTTGAGCCATTGGCTGTTGGTTAGGGCGGTTCGGGCAGTGTGAACACCCCAACTCGACCGATTCGGGCTTGGCTCGCTGCGAGTGTGACAGCAAGTTCTTGCAACCCACGACGCAACGCCTCTGAGACACGAGTGGCCCTGAACCCTAAACCCTAGACCCGAAATCCTAAACATGTCGGTGGTCTTCGGGGCTCACCCTTTGCATCTTCACGCGGGACGTGTTCGATGGTTTTGGGGGCTGCAAGGCCTAAACCCTCCTCCTGATCTTCTTCCTTACCTCGCCTTGCACAAATTCATGGCAAGCATGATGAGCATGAACATGCACACCATGAGCATGCACATCCAGAGCATGAACATCAGCAAAACTGCACCTTGTTATCACCATGACCGGTAAATACAGCGGCACCAACAAAGCGCACCTGATGTTGGCATAGGCCAGCGATCCTTGTGCGCCCAGCTCCTTGCAGCAGCGCGGCACTGCCATTGCACTAACCTTACACTCCTTGAATCCCTAAACCCTAAACCCTACACTACACATAAACCCGCCTGCACTTTCCGTAGACTCCCAAAACCCTAAACTCCTAAACCTAAACTCCTAAACCCTAAACTCCCACGCCCCGAACCCTAAACTTCTAAACCTGGGCCATGACCCTTATAATTCCCCCCTGAACCCGAAAGCCCCTCACTGGCAACAAGAGGAAACCGTTGTTGCTACTTTAATCGGTTTAGGGTTTAGGGTTTGGGATTTGAGTTTTAGCAAGGAAACCCAGAATATCAAAGGAGAAAGGGTACTACTGGAGACGTAGATCCTTTAACGTGATACAGCTCTATTGCTCCTGGTGGGCGACTGGTGCACTTGTGCAAGTTGTGATCGATGTTGAACCGAATGCACAAAACCTGCTACAGCCCTGGTTCCGGATTAAGGAAAGGGATTGCGAGTGTGAGATGTCGAATTTCAGCTAGGGGAAACCCTAAACCCTAAAACCCGGAAAAAAAAACTGAAGCCCAACACCCCCTGCCAACAGCTAACCCCTCCCCAGCGTCAGCGCATACGTCTTTAGGCTTTATGGTCACGGCTCAAAGCTGAACGCCTAAGCAAGTATCCCTAAACCCTAAACCCTAAATCGTAAACCCTAATCCCTAAACCCTGAGGCCTATAAAGCCTAAGTCATACCTAATCCCTAAACTCACTTGGCCCTCAACTCTAAACCCCAAACCCGCCCTGAACTCCCTCCATAGGTAGTTGTCAAAATTATGGTCTCTTTTTGGGTACCCTAAATATTAGGTGCCGTATTATTATAAGGACCTAAAGAGGGACCCTAATTTTGACAACCACCCACATCGCTCCTCTGGGTAGGGCAGCTGCATCCTCCGCCGGACAGTTTGAATCCTTGGCACCGGCGCAGAACCGAACACTGTCAAACCCGACATTCTAAGGACTTTAGGAGGGACCCCTAATAGGGACCCTTAATCCCATTACCTGAAACCACCATTGTATAGTCCTTATATACCCCTTATATAGCCAGGTAGTCTCCTTTTAACCCCAATAACCTACAAGGGTCCCCATTAAGGGCCCCTCAGCCCTTAGGGACATCATCATCCTAAAAGCCCTACATCCTAACACCGCAAGTTGCATCAGGCATAAAATGCAAGAGAGCCCAGTACCCTTTAGTCAAACAGCAATCCCTGAATTGAATTATAGAAGGCCTCATATGCTGGTTTAAAGAATCGTCCTTGATTCAGGGGCATTGGGTTGTCTGGGTTGGTGACAACCAGACAGTATACTCCGCGAAAAGCATGTAATCTGCAACGCAGTAGACCAGCATGCGCAACCATACATGATGCAGGTAGAACTACCTAGAAACAATGCTGACGATGTTGAATCTGAGTGCATATGTATATGTATGTGGTTTCTACATACATAATCCTAAAAAAATCAGTAACTACTTGCCGTTTAAACATGAAGCGTTGTTTTCGCCATCCTCTGCTATAGCCTAAACCCTAAACCCTAAAGCCTAAACCCAGAACCCAAAACAAGTCCGAGGCGCGGGTAGGAGAGAAGCTGCGCCGAGGCACCGCTAAGACTGCCCGCCGCCAACAGGTGATGCAGAGGCACCTCAGCTAGGGTTTAGGGTTTAGGGT